CTTTATTTTTCCAATGGAACGACACCTGATACATGATTAGTTCAAGATAAAAGTGAAAGATTCTTTCTGCTTTTACATAAAGAGTGTAATTTTATATTATTATTATTATCATTGCTATTTTTAAATAACATGCTTTGCAAACATACCAGTAGGTCCTGAGGCACCACATAAATAGTGGCACCATGAGATAAATGGAACTGGAAGATGTGAAGACCCAGTTTTTTGTTTTTAATGTGAGAACATCACTGAAAATTTCCAGGGATGTCATATCAAGGATTAATTTCCATTTTCAAGGTTGAATAAATAATTGCATAATGCCTGTGACTGTTTTTTTTTTGTAATCCCCACTGCTTTCTTTTTGTTACCGCAGGGCCTCCGAAGATTTTCAAGGTCACCCAGACTTCCCCATGTGAGTTCACCACCAATTCATTAACCCTGCTCATCTCTCAGAGGTGTCATTATTACTACATGGTTTCCAGAACATACTTGTAAGTTCTAATAAATGTACAAAAGGCTGGTCCTGAGTTATATTTGGTATAGCGTGTGCAGGTCCATGACACAGTTGTTATAAAAGGTGCATTTGAGTCATGCATGTAACTACCTGGTTTTAGCAGCATGTGTCTGGCTTTTTGAGGTAAACCCCCCTGCCCCCCTACCCCCTCCTGTTTTTCTGGGACATACTGTAATGCTGGTGAGTACTGTGGGAAGGCTTGTGCAAGGACTTCCCCTACAGGTTGAAACTCATTTGGAACAGAGAGAGCAGTGCAGTCCCCAGGAGTTAGCTGACTAACTGGGTCAACAGCTCTCCTAATGCGAGTTACTTTTCTCATTGTGTACCATATGTTTATCACTCTATTTTCTATTGGTAAATACTGTTTACAGTGCTCACTTTGTCTAAAAAAGTCCATGTAATAGTTTTTTTTTTACTCACAAGCACACATGAAGCAGCAGACAGAGCTTAACAGTGAAATTAAAACATCATCAGCTCTATCTTGGGTTCTGACCATCAGACTAGACGCTATGTTTGGCGGACACATCATCACAAACATGCTATCCCCCACTGTGAAGCACGGCGGTGGCAGCATCATGATGCTTTTCAGCAAATAATAAAATTCAGCAAAGTATGGGGAAATCTTGGAGATGGAGAAGATTTGTTTTCCAGCAAGACCATAACCTGAAGCATACAGCTAGAACTGCATAGACATGGTTTAACGACAACAAGGTGAATGTTCTGGAGTCAGACTTCAACTTGAAAATGGCTGTTCACTTATGATCCCTGTGTATCCTGACAGAGCTGGGGCAATTTTGTAAAGAAGAATGTAGTATATGAAACAAGATAGGACAAATTAAATACATTTTGGAAATATTAAAAATGATATTTAAGGCAAATCAGGCCTGTTTTCAGATTAGCACACACATATGTCCCACCATCCAGAGTGTACATGTGCTTACTCTGCATGTTGTATTTCTACAGGAATCCCGACTCCCCTCCATCGTGGAAACGAAGGGCGACGACTCCGATGACTCCTTCCACCTTTCTCCAGCCACTCGCTCCCGTCGCAACCTCCTGCTGCCAAACTTCACCAGCCCTGTCCGCCGCACGTCCCTGGGGAACCTCCTGGGGGACGAGCTGAGGCAGTTCAACGCCCTGCGACGCTGCCGCTCACCAAACCTCAGCCGCGGCTTCCACGGGCAGAGCTCATCCCCTCAGCCGCCGTCGAAAAAAGAGCACAGCACTCCCACGTCGACCCCGGCCTCCACTTCGGCCCAGGGAGAGTCGGAAGCTGAGCAGAAGCCTTCAAAGCTGCTCATCCCAACTGTCACCTGTTTTGGACCCCCAGATCTCAGCCCCAGGTACAGTGAAAGCTATTTGCAGGAAACAAGCAGAAACTTAAAGACACACTCTGGTGAAAAATGTAGTTGTTGTTGTTGTTGTTTTTAACCATGTTACCAGCTTGTGATGTGCCAGAACACATATTGAATAGCAGGCAGAGTATTTCCACTTTGAAACTACAGATTCAGACTTGTGGGGGTATCATATGAAACAGACCTAAAGAACCAATCCTGTCGGCGTGAGTGGTGGAACTTTCCGTATCATTATTCTTCTTTAGTATCAGTTTCTTGTTTACACATGTGAGGCTGAATCACTCCAGAGTGGCTTTGTCTGGAAGCAGAGGTGGGAATTTCACAGGTCCTCACATAATAAAGAAGTCGTTTAAAGTTACGTTTAAGGCATTTTAGTCAAGTAAAATGAAGCCACCATTATATATATACACATATACATATATTATAGCACATTTACAGCAAACAGCCATTGCACCAAATATTACACTTGAGACCCTGCAAGTGTTTTTTATGGTATGAATTTTCCTGAGTAATTTATATATTAAGGATTAAAACCCTACAAAAAATTATATAAAATACAATTTTACCGGACTGTAATAAATATTGATGCCCTACAGTGTTATTCATCATGGAGATTAACTTGATTAAGGTGGAACTAAAGCTACAACCCTACAGAAATATATATTAAAATCCAACAAATTCAAAGGTGCCCTCTGAGCAGCTTTCTTTTTCTTTTCATTATTTGTATGAAGAGATTATTTTCATGCGGGGAAAAAAAACTTTTACTTTTACTTTACTTTTACAACTTTTAATTTTAATACACAGAGATGAGTTTTTTTGTTTTTTGTTTTTAAACATTTTAACTTTAAAGATTAAATTAAATTACTTTTTGAAGGTTGGTAGCTCCATAATCAAGTGTACAAGCGTTGCTGGAGTTTTGACCTCTTCGTAACAGAACTATAAAAACACATTAATCACACTGAGCTGAATTACATTTAACGTAATAAAATTCAATACTGTTGAATATCAGTATGTTAGAATTACCTTAATTTGTGCCGATGCTACTCTTTGTGTATTTTAATCCAGCTCCGTGACACGAGCAGCATCGCGGTCTCGTCTCCTTTCTTTTTAAATGAAGTTGTTTCAACCCTGAGGCTAAAATTTTAAAAATGTCCAAAGTGTGCTTTCTGTAAAACCATTTTCATGAGCTCCACCTCGGTGCTGTGGACCTTGATGCCTCTTTTATCCGTCTTATCAGGTCTTTTCAAATCCCCATTTCAGCGATGTCTTTCTTTACACAAGTGCCTTTTTTTGTGTGTGTAATCACAGATTTTATCTCACGGGATTTTGCAGACCACGCTATGTCAATATATTCACCTTAATCTTCACAACCTGAGTACCTGAATAAGGTGTTGCGGTAATGGACTCCTGCGTGATGTACTTAATGTAAATGGAGTGTATTTGCATTGCATATTTCAACAGATGCCGCTGCATTTCATTAGCCGAGCACCTTATCCTCCTGCCCCAGCCATCTGTATTCATAATGTATCCCTAAGTCATCGAGTAAGTTCTAGATATGGGTAAGTGCTGGTTCACGGAGCTCAAGTGTCCTCCCCTCCAGACTGGGTTCTTCTCTTCATGCTCAAACCCACATGGGCCTCTGCCAGCCAGCAGCTCTCATGGCACATTCCTGGGTCGTCTGCTGGCTCCAGTGATAATTGAAAAAGCTCTACTGTTACATTAACTCCAGCTTCTCTCTTCACCCCTCCTGCCAGGGTTGTAGATGGCATCGAAGACAATGGGCACACGTTCCATTTCAACGTGGAGCACAGCGGGCCCAACGCCAGCGCAGGCGGCAGCACCCAAGGTAAGTCAAACCGCCTCCAGCTGCGAGGGTCGCCCGGGTGCCAGATGGCTGGAGGTAAACTCAAGAGTTCAAACGGTGGATATCACAACGCAGGCCTGCCTCCTTCTGGGGAAATATGAGAGCACAGCAGAATGAAATGACATCCAGGTGTCCGGAGAGTCAGAGAACATGTTAAAAGGACGACGGAGGTCGAGGCAGGGCTCCGACCATCTGACCTGAGTTTTCACTTCCAGGAGGACTATCAAGTTCAGTTCAGCTGAGGTTAAGCTAGTTTCATTTATTAGATTAAGTGTTTCGGCAAGAGAGATTGGTAATAGAACACAGCAGCAATCTAAAGTAAAGCCCGTGCACCTTGCTGCTAAATGTTTTTTTTACATCTGTGGTGTTGGTGGCTCGTTGATGTGTTCAGGTGTTTGCTTGAGTCTTGTTTAGGGTCATTCCATCTCAAATCATCCAATTTTTAGAACAGTTTCCCCTTAGCATCTCTGATTTGAAATGTTTATGGTATAAAATGTGGATATTTATAAAGATATTTGTGAAATTTTAATATCAAGTAACCCTAATCCAAGATTTTTTTTTTCTTCAAATGATTTTCAGCAGCTTTGTTTGCACGTTGGAATTAGAAGCTATGTTTGGATGACAACATCTCAGGAACGATTACAGATAAAAAGCCTCAAATTTTCACTGTTATTTCTCACCGTGTCACTGATTCAGTAATATGAGACAAGTAGATCAAGTAATTTCTGATTATAGGATAAGTGGAAATATGAAAGTCTCGTCTTTGACCACAAAAAAAATCAAAATGCAGAAGCAGGGGTGTTTTCTGAACCGTGTGCATTTTCATGTCACAATAAAACAAAAAAAGAATTTGAAATATTTGGTTACAAAAATGAAAAGAAAGTTGTTTTTGTTTAACTTTCATAACTAGTTAAGCAGGTGTGACACATAAACAACACATTTAGTCGATGGCCTAATTCAAGTAGAAAAGACTTCCAGGGTTTCAAAATGTTTATTCAAATAGACCGAAAAACAAATCTATTTTAAATGTGGGCATACTTTTCATTTTCAGACAGCGAAAACTTTTATCTTTAATAGTTTCTGAGAAAATGTGTTTGAAAGTGGGTCGAGGGGCAGTTTTTAAAAAACAAATTAGCTCTGAAAGCACTCGATACGTCAGTCTAAAATTTCACAGATACCATTTTAAATATCTGTAATTTATGATAAAACGGTTTCAAGCAAATCACAGATGGTGGAGCAGAAGGCTCCTGATGATTTGAGACGGAAGAACCCTTCAGCTTTTTCCTGGTTACTCCAGATTTCAGATGGTCGCTGCTGCCTTTCCGCCGTCTTCACAATATTCCGTCTTGTAAAATACTGAAGCAGCGTCTTACATAGAGCCACGGCACCCTCTACATGACCTAAACAGTTTCTCAACATATACAGTTTAGACATAAGGGTGGATATACACATGATGCAATGCAGTAGCTCTGTTTTAGCTTAGACACAGTTGCGTAATGTGGTTGCGTTAGATTGTGTCGTCAGAATGATACGCTGCAGCTCAGGAGAACAACACCTGAACCTACCTGTGCTTAGAAATTAGCCATGACAGCGCCCACCTCTGATGGATTTTTTTATATATACATATGTACATAAGCTTTAGCCACATGTAGTACTTACACATCGGGGTAACTTGGCATCCATTGGATTTACACATTAGTTAGTTTTATCGTCCTCTAAGTTGTGCGTTACTAAGTCAGACGTCTTATTTTTCTCCTTCCTCATCACTCCAGACTCCACACAGGCTAATGCCACTCTGCTGCTGGAGACAGAGGAAGTCAGGCAGAGCATCAGTCAACTCAACCTGAAGGTGAGTTACAGCCACTTAACCCAAATTAAAATTGATGGGACCAAAGATGGTGTTGCCTTGATTTTAAATTCTCCCAGATACCGACACATTCTGCTCTTGTCATGCCTTCTGTCTTCGTGTATGAAACACAAGGAGTGAACAAATGACAACACAACTTAGGGGATACGTCAACGTTTTATTTGTCTCCGACTGATATGTTCTTTGCAGATCTTTTTTTTTTTTTGTCATAGATAAAGTTCTGGCATCTCATATCAGCCTTGCTGGTGTGTTTGAAGGGAGAACATGAAGTCAGATTAAGCAGACGTAGTTTCTGCTTGTATCTCAGCCTCTCCCTGCACTCTTAATCTGAATGTAAATAGAGTGAAAGCAGGTGCAGCAGGAGGATCCAGATGGGCCTAGGTAGGTGCTGTCTGAAGTCAATATTAATTAATCAGCAGGGCACTTCTGCAATGCAGTGGATAGTCAGGAAGTGCTGACTCGGCAATATGAAGAAAGGAAAAAAAAAACAGCTTGATGACGACCCAGCTCTACTCGTGGCCCTTCTGGCCCCCTTTTTCCTCTCGTTTCACTGCAGCATTGTTCCCAGTTTTCTGTCTATTTTCTTCCCTATTTGTGTCAGTCACCTCTGCCTGTGTCCGTCGGGATTTCACTCCTGCGCGAGAGGCCACTTCTTACAAGATTCTGAGTCACTTCTTAGTGTTTGCTTCTCTTTTGGGAGAATTATATCTGGTCACGAGAATGAGATTAAACCTTAAAGATAGAAGCTTATTAATTTGTCACTCTTCTGGGGACCTAAGCGAGCAGAGCTGTTTGGTTTTTTTTCTTTCAGTTCTCAGTGTTGTCCTTTCAGACCTTAACATGTTTGCTCTGTGTGATAACAAAAAAAATGCAAGGTAGGACAGAATCTGTTCCAAGTCCGCTCGTGTCGTAACTAAACTGTATGCACTCTCTACACAGATGGGCGCATTAAACCAGGAAGTATCTGAGCTTACCAAGGGCCTGCACCACATGCTGCATCTCCTCCAGGCTCATGTGTCTGTACATCACTACCAAGCCTCATTCCCCTCCTATCCTTATGGTGTGCAAATGGTGTCCAGCCCTCCCACAGCCTCCAACGCTGGCCTGCCTTTCAACCCTGCTTCGTCCTACCACCTCCACAACGATCCTGGGAGCCACAAAGGCCACAGCCACCAAAGTGCCCCAGCTGCTGGCCAGTGGAGCTACAGTGGAACTGCTGAAACCCAGACAGAGAGCCACCACCGGCCTCAGTCCTCCAGTCCACCAGCGAACTCCTGTCCGCCCCTCTCTGGACACGCTGCTCCTAAGTTAGGCCACAGCTCCGAGGGCATGACCACACACCTGTGGACCAGCCCGTCTCTTCTTAACATCAGTCCAGGCTTCCAGGGTGGAAGTTTAGGCCTCGCACGTCATGCTGGGCATGAAGACTCAGACAACAGACCTCTCAGTGCTAGTCCAACCACCATCAGCCAGTCCCAGCCCACTCTGTGCCTGCAGCCTTGCAGTGATAGTGATGAATTCGCTTGCCTTTTGTCGAGTGCCCCTACAGGTACATCCACACACAGCCTGCTGGGCCCTTCACCCACTTCTTACTCCCACCTCAACCTTCCACAAGCCTCAAATGAGGCCATTTGTGTCCTGATGTCCTCTCCAACGTCTCATAATCTGATCCAGGACACCTCCATCTTCCAAATCGAAGACTCGCACCCGTCTATCCACCCCATCTCGTCCTCTCCACCCATGTTGCCCTGCCAGCCTTCTGCCTCTTCTCTGGATTCAGGATCACCACGATCGGATGTTCTCGAGCCCCATCTCCCGCTGGGCGACCCGTCTGCCATAGAACACACCAGTTTGGAGTGCCTACTGGGGAACGGGGGCTCCATGGAGAGCCGGGACAGTGAGAGCGCGTCATCTCGACGGTCCAGCATCGGCGTCCAGACTCAGAGCACAGAGCAGTCATGGTGTCTGGACCTGACAGATTGAAGTGTTTCAGGACAGACTGGAAAAAAAGCAGCACTGGCGAGCAGCTCAAATGCTTGACAAGCGACTTCTTACAGTGTTACAGGAGACTCTGCTAGAGAGTGTCAGTGTGTGCTCTGTTTCCCCTTCTTGACTCCTGGGCTCTCTTATTTGTCAAACTCCACCTAATTTACACCATTTCTATGCAAAAGCATGTCATTTGTGCATTATCTTGGCTTTACTGAAGTGTGTCTTTAAAAAAAAACAAACCTCCACAGCAGTGGGTTCCAGTATATACTGTATATTTTTTTGCAGCATCCTCAGAACAATTTGCAGTTAATAATAATAATACCTGTTACCTCCTTGCATGGTAAAGTTGTTTATTCTTTTTCCTAAGGAAAAGGTTTCCAAATTAATGTGTAAGCATTCTACATGACAACCTGTTGATTGTGTACACAGATACTGTATTTATATAGCAGACAGGTCAGCGTGGTCGGATGTTTTATTATACAGAAGAACACAAACGCCACATGCTTCACTCTGCATGTAGGGACTGGAGCATCACACAGCATCGATTGTTTGTTGTTTTTAATTGAATGTTTTTCTCAGTTCAGCATTTTTTTTATTTGTGAATTCATAATTTTTGAACTATCCAAACTCCACCAAGCAGTACACACAGCATCACCGATAACTTCATTGAACGTCTCCTTTTTATGTTTTCCTCAAGACATTTTAGAAAACTTCCTATTTTTTCCCCTAATCAAGGCATTAAATATAAGACTATTAAATAACTTTAACTGCTCTCTCAACAAAAATAACATTTTTTTCTCAAGCATCTACTAGAAACATCTCATAGCTGCTGATAAATTAAACATTAATAAATATACGTATTTAGAAAGAAAAAAAAAGCGGGGGTGGGGGGGTCCCTTGAAATATTAAAATCTGTTATTAATTCACAAAGTATGAATGCCTCTGAGGAAAACATGAACTCAAGATACTCATACGATATTCAGAGTATTCAGGAACTTTATTCTTTTTGAATGATTTCTCCTTGGCTGACAAAATAAATACGCAGAAAATGTCTTACTGGGTCCTTCACTGTTTCGTCACACGATTTATGCGTTTAATATATTTTTAACTAATGTCAAAATAAGCGACATATGCGTGACTGGATAGCTGCAGTGAAAACATGTCTCATCAGTCAGAAAAGCAGCTTCAGTGTCTTCGGTTTTGGAAAGAACATTTGGCAAATCGAGTTGTGGAGTAACTGCTTTGGGCAAACGTTGATTTAAGCTCAGGAACAAATACAGACGCCTGGTTGTTTGTTTTTGAAGGAAAAATAGAAAGGAAGTGAAGTATTTTCCGCTGAGAAAAGGCTCTAGCTGCTGCCGTGATTGTCAGTTATTCAGGAAAATGTACTTCCATGTTTTAGTCGGTTGCAGATGAAACTGTCCAGGCTAGAAACTTAGCAGCAGCATTATTCCTAATTGGCGAAAGTAAACCTTCATGTCTGTGTTTGAAAATTAATTTAATTCAAGTGGTTTCACACTTTCATTCAGGGCTTCAGCGTACACGGAAACTCCACAAATGATTCATGTTTGCTCCACTTTCAGCAGCCTAATACACAGATTTTGTCAAATAAATCTGGTGGAAAACAAAAAAAGACAAGAAGACGTCTGATAATTACACAATCTTCGCATGTTGCCATCATTGTTTTGTAGCAGTAAGCGGGTATGAAACGTTCTGTTTGTGCGGTTTTGATGTTACAATCTCTTGCATTTCCTGAAAGGCGTCGCTGATAAGAGCGTGTTTTCCCGGCAGTCACTCTGTGAGGAAAACCCAGAGGGTCATTTCAGCTCAGTTAATAATATACTGGATATCCATCAGCAATATGACAATTTCACAACAAAGGCAACATAAAAAGGAGGCCACGGTGTCAGAGCACCAGCAGATCAACTCATCAGGTGGGATATCTTGTAATCCAAGTTAAAATTATGCACTTAAAATACACTCTAATACAAATGCGCTCTATTTTTTGACACAGATATTGGTGCACAGGCTTTTGAAACTGCGAAAACATGAAGACCGTGGTTCTCGCTCTTTCGGTACTGCTCGCCGTCAGCCAGAGTGAGTAAAATCTGCGAGGATGCAGTCCAGTTTTCTGAGATTAAAATGAAATTTGTCAGAGTTTGTTCGCTTGGGATGGGTGAACAAGTGTTTGTTTTGTTGCAGGTGAAGCCTTGAGGTGTAAATGCGGAGGCGTGAATAGCTGCCCAAAGTCTGTGGAGGAATGCACCGGCTCCAATATCTTCTGCGCCACCCTTAATCTTGAATCCAGTAAGTGGTTTTTTTTTTGGTGTAATGTTCAGCTGCAGAAAACCATAGTTACCATATACTGTAAAGCCATTTAAGAAACCCCGTCGTGAAAATCATCTCTGTCTTTGTGTTCACAGATCCCAACTTCTTCAAGGGTTGCATGTCGCAGACGGAGTGCGATGCTTGGAATAACCCGGGTGTAGCAACCATCTCGTGCTGCACCACTGACCTGTGCAACGCCTGATAAATGCGCATTGTGTCGTATGGATTCTGTTCTCATCATAAAGAACTTGTAATCAAGATTTTTCTTCCTGCCTCTTTTTCTTGTCACTTTATCTTTCATATGCACTGACTTTGTCTCTCTGTTAAATCTACATAACAGTTGATAAATGACCCAAAAAAAGGACGTCACAAAGCTCAAAATTAGAAGAAATGTGACATAAATACTTACTCTGGTCAGTTAATCCGGCGGCTCCTAACCAGGGGGTGCACTGAAATATCAGCACAACTCGTCAGAAAGACAGGAGGTACAGTTTAATTGCAGAATTGAGTGGAGTTGATCATTAGAAATAGACAACCGGGGAGTGCTTAAATGATTACAATAAATAGGTAATGATGGGAAGGGAACAAATGGTTGAAATAGCTAAAAGTATGGCTGACTGAGTGTTAAATGACATCCAATTTGAAAAGGAGTTCAAATGAACACATCAGAGCATGAGAGGTGGTGTTGATGAAGGGGAGTCCATCTGTCAGGCCTGCGGAGATAAATTAGATGAAAAAGGAACTGAATTAATCAATTAGTCAAACGGCGGTTTTGAAAAGATGACTCGGCTTCAAATCTACGAAGGCAGTTTTTAATGAGGACGACATTTCTGTGTATAATCTCTCCTCCAAACGGGGCTCATGTACTGGACTGCACACCTCAACCTACACTTTTTTTCGCTATGTACCTTGTTTGTTAAATTAAAGATGGTTTAAGTAAAGTAAAGTCAAACATCTTCGTCTCTGATTTTACATACCAGCAACAGTTCTTTTTGTAGCCCAGTGGGGAAAAAAAGCTGAAGAATATTAATTAGGAAAAGTGTAAATTGACAAGTTTCTTCAGCTGGAGGTGATTTATTAGCCCTAAAATTGACATTGCACTCCATAAACAGCAAGTTGTTAGTTTTAAATTTGTCCTTTATTTATCAGGGACAGCACAGCAAAACGGTGTTACATAAGAAGGAAGGCGACAGATAGGGGAGGCGGTTAAAGCTAATTTGCGGCTCCTCATCCCTCAGCTTTTTAAAGTCAGGTTGAAAGAACCAAACACATAAAAGGCAACAATGGACTCGGGAAACAACAAAACAGACTGTGTGTACACGTATGTGTCTGTGTATGCAGCCTGCGTGCTGGAAATACACATCCACAGAGAAAATATAAAACACATCAAGGTCCTAATCCAATAATAGGACTGTAATGGGTAAAACGGTGAAGCCAATATGTGCAGCGATGGATGCACTGTGATCAGTCCAACAGAATAGCTCATGAAGCACAAACGTCGTGGTCTCAGGACTCTGTGGTGCAGACAGGAAGCATTGTAAAGGCATCAGAATCTAAATGAGAATCATTTTTATTTCCAAGGACTTTTGCACAAACAAACAATTTGACGTGGCGTTTTGGTGCATAACAATAGAAGAAGAAGAAGAAGATTTTTTTGAAAAGAATAAAGCAAGTGTTCAAAGACAAAGAAGAAGCAGGTGTTCCCAGTCAGATAAACAGCAAGTGTAGCAAATCCAGGGATTATAAGTAATAAAAAAAAAACAATAGAAATATTGACAGTGTGCACACATGTGAAAATTATTCACCTGAATATGTGTGAAATGTTGTAGTATATAGGGTTAGCGACTTGAGATGTGCCAAGGGTATTTTGATGTTTTATTATATTTTATACAAGAAGAAGGATAATAAAAATAATGTCTAAATATTAAAATATATAGAGATGTAGTTGTATAGCAATGTATGGTAAACTGTAACCAATCAAATATATCTTGTCTAAAGAAAAACAGTTAGCAATTATATTCTCAGTTGCCTTTTCCAGTAGCCTGCGGTTGATGACCGTTATTGTTTTGGTCTCAAAAAAAAAAAAAAAGCATCAGATTTTACAGTATGTAACCGTACTTTGGACAGAATAGCACACTAGGGTTAGACTTTGGCTGTATTTCTCACAATTATTTAAAACCAGCAGAGTCTTTGAAACTTTCTCTACATATTTGGAACAAAATACGAGCTAATGATGATAATAATAGCTCCCAATTTGCAAAGGAGATAGATAGATAGATAGATAGATAGATAGATAGATAGATAGATAGATAGATAGATAGATAGATAGATAGATAGATAGACAGATAGACAGACAGATAGACAGATAGATAGATAGATAGATAGACAGATAGATACAACTTTATTGACATTTTTACTAAATTTTTATTAAGTATGAAAGGTTTTACAATGTGCAGTCATGTTGAAATACTACAGCTTAAATACTATCTATAAATCATCAACTGGGCTTCTATGTTTTAGTGTCTCTAAATCAAATTTCAAAATCATTTTTAAAACTCATCAGTTTCTACATAAAGCCTTTCTCTACATTTCAACACTTGTATTTTCTATTGCTGTGTTTCATTTTCTCTTTGCACATGACAAATTCATTTTCTTTCAAGTTCATTTTTGTTGTAAAC